AACTTTGTGCGTAGTTCTCGTGGTGTAGGAGTACAACTTGGTGCGAAGTACTCGGGAAGGCGGAGTAACAAGAGGAGCTTGCGAAAAACCTTGGTGGAGTGTAGCTTTGTGCGAAGCACTCGAAGAAGTGTCGTTGGGCACTTATTCACTATTGTATCTGGGTGATCGTAGAATAGTGATTACGCCACCTCTGAACCACTATAAATCTCTCTCTCTATTTACTTACTGCTCATATATATTTCGTGCATGCTTATATTATCTGTGAACTAACTCGTTACGGTTTATTGCGTATCTTTATCTGTCTGGGTTTGATAGTTCCCTCGTTTGCATGCATGTGAAATTTTATATACATCATCCTACATCTATATCAAGTGTTTCTAACGTGATGCATGTATAAAATCTCTCTTTGAGCACGACACAATTAAAGCATAACACTTTGCCGTTACATTTCCGCTGTGCACACTCTAAGTTGTTATACTTGTTTATGCTTGTTACTTAGAGTTGAAGTTACCAAAGTGTTGTTTGCAAAAGAAGTTTGAAAAGTTAGAGAAGTCTATTCACCCCCCCTCTAGACTTCTCGCCACCCTTTCGGGACCAACAAGTTGTATCAGAGCGGTTGTCTATTTGAGTCAATTTTGACTGCTAGACAGATCTCAAAATCTTCAAGATGAAGAGAGATTTGATTCTCGCTCAAAATTTGCTTTTCTCACTTAACAAATTTGATTTAAATGACGAAATGTGGGAAGTCATCACAAATGGTCCTATCCAAATTATGGAAGTTAACACCGCTACTCCACGAGATCCAAATGCTCCACAATATGTTCCAAAGCCAAAAATGGAGTGGACAAGCGAAGATAGAGGGCGAAATAACTTGGACAATATTGCCAAGGACATTTTGTTCAAAGCGGTCAATGACACCATCTTTCCAAAAATTCGAAAGTGCACCACAACAAAAGAAATATGGGATACACTTATCGGTATCGGTGAAGACGATGAGCAAGAAAAAGATAACAAACTAACCATTGCCATTAAGAGGTTCGAAGATTTCAAAATGCTACCGAACGAAAGCATCACCGACATGGAAGCTCGATTGATCAAAATACTTGGAGAAATCACGGATCTGGGAAAGACCATTACCCAGAAAGAAATATCGCTCAAAGTGTTACGTGGACTACCTACAAATTGGGATATGAAGGTGACCGCAATGCGCGATCATAGAGATCTAAGGACATTATCTACGGATAAACTCTTTAGTGATCTTAAGGCGTATGAGTTCGAAATGAAGACACGAGTTGAAGAAGAACGCGATGAACGAACATCCGCACTAATGGCCGATCAACCGTCTACATCAAGGTCAGTCGTAAATAATGATTTTTTATCTGACGAACAATTTTCTCTATTTGTTAGAAAATTCTGGAAGTTCATGCGAAAGAATAAAGGATCACCACAACGAAATTCTTTTCGGGAGAATAGAAGATCAAGAAGGGAACCAGTCGAAGATAACACAAATGTGTGTTACAATTGTAGAAAGCCTGGACATTTTATGGCCGAATGTCCACATCCCAAGGTGAACAAAAATTCGAGTACTTCTAACTCTCCATAGGTTGAGTACAAGTCGAAAGAGAAGAAATTCAAAAAGGACAAACGGAAGGCACTAATAAGCGATCCGTTAGAAGCAAGTGAATCTGAAGAATCATCTAGTGACGAGAGTGATTCATCACAAGAAGATACGGCGCTATTATGTCTAGTGGGCAAAACATCCGAACATGAGGAATGCTATATGGCGCGCGAAACCGACGAAGAGGAAGTTTGGTATTTCGATAGCGGTTGCTCTCGACATATGACCGGCAATAAAGCTAGTCTAGTTGAGTTCAAAAGTATCGAAGGACCAAAAGTAGTTTTCGGTGGAAACGATCGATATGGAATGACAAAAGGAACCGGCGCAATTGTGAAAAATGGTTTACGAATTGATGACGTATCTTATGTCGAAGGATTAAAATTTAACTTGTTTAGTACAAGTCAATTTTACAACAAAGGATATCTCGTAGAATTCTACAAAGGCAAGTGCCAAGTCAAAGACGAATCCACGAGAGAAGTTGTACTCGCCGGATCAAGAAAGAAAAACATGTATGTTGTAGATTGGAGTACAACAAAAGATTTTGTATGCTTGATGGCAAATAATTCGAATGAAGCTAGTTGGGAATGGCACAGAAGGCTAAATCATTTGAATTTCAAAACCATCAACAAGCTTGCCAAAAAGAAGTTAGTGGAAGGACTACCCAATATTGTGTTCAAGAAAGATCAAGTATGTGACGCATGCCAGAAAGAAAAACAAATCAAAACATCATTCAAAGCCAAAGCTCAAGAGTCAACATCAAGACCCTTAAGTCTACTGCACATGGATTTATTTGGTCCAGTAGACCCAGTAAGTATAAGTGGTAAGAAATATACTTTGGTTGTTGTTGACGATTTTTCTAGGTACACATGGACAATATTCATAAAGAAAAAGAGTGAAGTTGAATCAAAGTTGCCGGAGCTGCTAAAGCAATTACAAGTCCAAAAAGATATGAACATTGCAACAATTCGAACCGATCGAGGAACCGAATTTGTGAATGGCGTGATTCAATCCTATTGCAATTCACAAGGGATTCTACACCAACTATCTGCCGCACGAACGCCGCAACAAAATGGAGTAGCTGAAAGAAGAAACAGGACACTCAAAGAAACTGGACGTGTCATGATATCAGCCGCCGAACTACCAAAGAGATTTTGGGCAGAAGCTATCAATACGGCGTGCTATACTCAAAATCGAAGTCTAATCCACAAGTCATATAACAAAACACCATACAAATTATGAAAATGGAGGAAACCCAACCTCACGTATTTTCATACATTTGGGTGTAAATGTTTTGTACTTGTTAATGGAAAGTCCTATTTAAAGACTTTTGACGAACGTGCGAACGAAAGAATATTCTTAGGATATTCATCCACCAGCAAGGCGTATAGAATATTCAACAAATCAACCATGGTGGTAGAAGAATCGATTCACGTTGTGTTCGATGAAAATCACGACAAAAATGGCAAAGATAGTGAAGGTAATCGTGATTTAATTATTTCTAACGATATGTTGGAAGATAATGTGTTGCAGGAAGTAGAAGAATCAAGTGATATGGGTACTCACCAAATTGAGGCAATATCCAATGTGACACCCGAAATATCACGCACACCTACAACCGAAATTGCACCTAGAATTCAAGAAGAAGGAACTCCAGTAGATGAACCCGAAGATGCACCCGTCAACAATTCACAACAAGTGGAATCACAAGTATTCCAACAAGAAGGAAACACTGAGAATCCAACAAGTTTCCAACCAAATCGAAAATGGCTAAGAAGTCACACACATGACTTAGTCATTGGAAATCCAAGTGACGGAGTAAAGACGCGATCATCTACTAGGAACCAACAACAAGATGCAATGTTCTCATGCTTCCTATCACAACTGGAGCCAAAGGAAATTGACGAAGCATTAGCCGATCCAAGTTGGATAGATGCCATGCAACAGGAATTAGATCAATTCAAGCGCAACGACGTATGGAAACTTGTTCCAAGACCAACGCACCAAAATGTAATTGGCACTAAATGAGTCTTTAGGAACAAAGCAAACGAAGACGGCATCATTGTTAGGAATAAAGCAAGATTAGTTGCGAAGGGGTATTCACAAGAAGAAGGCATTGATTTTGATGAGACATTCGCCCCTGTCGCACGACTTGAAGCAATCCGGATATTCCTAGCATACGCAGCGCACAAGAATTTCATCGTATATCAAATGGACGTAAAGAGCGCATTTCTTAATGGCTTACTTGAAGAAGAAGTTTACGTCGAACAACCACCCAGTTTTGAGGTAAAAGACGTTGGTGATCAAGTCTACAAATTAAAGAAGGCATTGTATAGGTTAAAACATGAAAGTTGTCCCCTTCTCCTCTATGTGAGGGGTCTATTTATACATATTTTGGGCCTAGAGCCCTATAAGGAATATGAATTCTAGACTGCCTCATATTGGGAGTTTTAGTTACATTGTGAATAATAAAACCTAATTCTAATATATAAGAAATAATGAGTCCAATTCTGATTATATTGGAAATAATAAGCTCAATCCTTAGCGAACTCCCGAGTTGTTCCGTACTGGGTATCCTTCTTGGGCTTCCTTAATCCAGTTGCTTTCTTGGGCCAGTCCATGTGGCCCAGGCCTAGTGTATTATCCATCATTCACCATATTCTTTAATTTCCAAACTACATTCATCTTCACCATCTTCTTTAATTTCCACACCAGCCTGTGCTTATCATGGATAGAACTAACAGGGCGTTTGGTTGGAGGGAGGGAATTATGTGGGAAAGGAATTGTAATTCCATGGGAATTGAATTACTGGGGATAAAGTGAGAATTTAAATTCCAGTGTTTGGTTGACAGGAATAGAATTACTAGGAATTTCAATTCCAATGTTTGGTATACATGGGAAATGAAAGGGAATAAGTAGTATAAAGTCAAAAATGTTCATTATTGTTGTTAGACATTAATTTTAGGTTAAAAAAGGAAGGGGTAATTTTGACTCATCACTATCTTTTTTTCCCAGGAATTAAAATACCAGGGGGACATGGAATTTTAATTCCATGAAAATGGGGGAATTGCAATTCCATGAAATTGCAATTCCCTCTAACCAAACTACGGAATTTAATGGTCTTGGAAATTAGATGGGAATTAAGTGGGAAGGGAATTTAAAATCCCTCCAACCAAACGCCCTGTAAATGTTATTATAAAAATTCACAGTAAGTACTAAACTCTTATTCACCCCCACAACTCCACATGCCTTTGTTGTTTTCTTTCCTTTCCTTTTCCCTCCTTTCTTTCTCCATTATTTTACTCCATACTCACATTTCCATCGATCCAATTCTGAAAATTATACTACAGAAGAAGCATCATCACACTTAAGAAGTTGTCATTGCATTGCTATTATCTTTAAAAAAATACCAATAAACAAATAGGGACCACAAAAATGAATGCTTTCAACTACATATTCTCTGGCTCTCTGCAATGTAGAACAAAGATGCAGAAAATTATCAAAACAAGCACTAAAGAAACCTAAGAATCCAGTACAGTTACTACATTCCATCTCTATGATAAACTATTAAAGAAACACTATAGATACAATCAGAAAACAAATTAAATAAAAGAAATTGCAGACAGCTTACCTTCATTGATCCCTTCCTTTTCACAGCAGACATCCAAATACTCATTTCCTATATATTTACATTCACATATATTATCATGATTTTCAAAGTAATATATAATATAAGGAAAATGGAATCAAGAAAGCTCCCTATTTTACTCATCAATCCCCTAGTTGCAACTCCTCCTAATGTCATGTCCATATTATCTCTATTTATTTTGTGAAATCTTCAATGCTGGCCTATCTACATAAAGTGAGTTTTTATTTTCATCCATTTACACTTTTAATTACTACACAGAATCTTTTAGAAGTACTTCAAATCTAATACCTTAATAGGGGCATTTAGTAAAAGACTAAAAGATGATTTGATAAAACAGACAGTGGGTCAAGTCTAACTAAAGCTGCCACTATTCACAACTTCAATTTTCGACAAACACATATATAGTACATACATACATACAGGTATTATAGTTACTGCTAAAAATCTGGGAACTGAAATTGTTTAAGAGGGAGGAGGCAATAATATAATTATTAGTTTGGTTGTGAATTTGTGATCTATGTGAGACTAATTCCATGTGCTATGTTTCTTAGTTATCACAGATAAATGAACACAACTTAAACACCTAAAGCATGACAAAAGAAAATCTGAAAAAGAAATACTTGTAATCATACATCCAGCTTTAAAACTTACAGTCACTTATAGCTATTTCTAATAATGTAAATGGTTTGCTAAATTTAATCAACACCAAGATAAATGGTTTCTGTGAATAGTTTAAAGCTGGTAACTTCAGAATTCAAAAAGGTTATAAGATTTTCACCTAAAGAGAGCCAAAAGAATCAGTTAAATGATTAGAACTTCAATCAAGATGTGTATTCTTCAATCATATCACCACTCAAAATGTCTTGTGCATTACATTCCCTACTCTATTGTCATCCAAATCCATAACATCTTCAATAATATCATGCATTTAAATAGACCAAAGTCCATTCACTAGAGAAAAACAAAGGCATCCCATAGAAACTGCTATAAAATACTGATCGATCCCCTATTGTCTAGACAAAAAGCTAAGCCAAATCTAAAGTCCTCAAAGCTAAAATAATTAGAGGTGACTGAAAATGGAGTCTTTGTTTAGGATAGCCTCGGCTCTAATTATACTGAATTTATTACTCTCTGTCTAATTATATTTTACTTCTGTGTAGTAATTAAACCGTGGGCGAGAGAACAGTCACAGACGGAGGAGGAATTACTTCTGTGTAGTAATTAAACAGAGATATAAATACCTGTCACAGATGGAGGAGGCAGTCATAGACGGCGACGGCGACGGTGTCTGGTGTGGCGGCGCTCTGTTGCGTTCTGCGAGGGCGAGGGCGATGGTTGCGTCGACTTGAAACGGTGACGGAGTTCTACTGTGATAGCGACGGCGTCTGCTGCGACGGCGATGGCGTCTGCTGCGACAGCGACGACGCTCTATTGCGTTCTGCAAGGGCGAGGGCGAGGGCGAGTCGACTTGAAACTTAGAGCAGCATTCTCTTTAGGCTGCATCGATGTGAAACTTAGGCTAGCATTCTCTTAGGGTTTGGGTTTTAAATTTTATTGTATTTGATTTGATTATAATTTTAATTTTAATTTTAATTTGATTTTAAAAACGACACCGTTTATACGTAGAAGAAATAAAATTACAACAGAAATATTGCGACGGAATAAATTCGGTCGCTAATTCCGTCGCAATATTTATTCAATACACCAACAACTATTTCTTTTCACAACGCGCGAAAGTCCGTCGCACTTTCGGTCGCTATTTCGCGACGGAAAGCAAATTGGTCGCCTTTTCCGTCGCAAAATAAACGACGTAACTAAATTTCGTTGCAAATTCGGTCTTGAATATTTTACCGCCAATATTTCGCGGGTTTTATGTTTCCTTTGCGCCAAGATTCACGACGTAATTAAATTCCGTCGCCCTTTCCGTCGCAAATTTGCAACGGAAGCAATTCGGTCGCAATATCCGTCGCGTTTTTGCAACGGATTAATATCCGTCGCGATTTTCCGTCGCAATTCGCGATTTTTCTTGTAGTGTGGTTACACTGACACTCGAGCCATTTGAGAACCCCACACAGTACCGTCGCATAGCCGGCGCTCTTTAGTATTTAACTATCACTAGGCCATATCTATCTTACTCCGTCAACAAGTTGTGCCAATTCATGCACTCACCTACCGAGGATAATTGGGCCTCAGTGAAGCGGGTTCTCCGGTATGTCAAGGGCACTCAGGACTACGGGCTACGGATCACGCCTTCGTCATCCATTGAGCTACATGCTTTTTCTGATTCTGACTGGGCCGGCTGTCCGATTGATCGGAAATCCACTAGCGGTTATGCAGTATTCCTCGGAGGAAACTTAGTATCGTGGTTATCTCGCAAGCAGCGCACGGTCGCTAGGTCATCCACAGAGGCCGAGTACAAAGGGCTTGCTGATGTCTACGCAGAGGTCACTTGGATTGTCTCGTTGCTTCAAGAATTAGGGTTGCACTCTGGTAAGCCGGCTACTCTCTGGTGTGACAATCTCGGGGCCACCTACCTAGCGGCGAATCCTGTTTTTCATGCTCGCACGAAACATGTGGAAATCGAATACCACTTTGTCCGGGACAAGGTTGCATCCGGGGACTTCATTGTCAATTTTGTCTCTACGAAGGAGCAGCTTGCGGATATCTTCCCCAAACCTCTTCCTACGGCGCATTTTCAAAATCTTCGAGGCAAGCTCAATGTTGTCTCTCTCCTACCTTGTGCTTGTGGGGGAGTGTTAGTCATTATATTATTATTGGTTTATATTCCTGTGGCTTTAGATTAGTTTGTTAATTCTAGTCTATAGTATAGGAGAGATTAGTGGTAGCTTTTATATAGGGCTCTATCTTGTAATCTCTTGGTTAACTGAATTGATTTTGAATTCCCTTCTCTCATCTTAATGCATAAACAATATATCATTAACAAAGTTCGAATTGAGATATTTTAAATGACACATATATTGATTTATATTTTAAATTTTTTGAAAAGTAGAAATCTATAGGTACGTAAAGTCATTATTTTAGAGTAATGTTTATGTACAGTAAGCTTTGTTTTTATGAACAAATAAATGGAATATTATGAACCTACTATAGAGTGAACAGAAACACATATAATATACATTTCGTTTAGCGTTTATGTACATTAAGATTTAAGTTTATGTACATATAGAACAAATATTATGAACATATTACAAAACAAATGCTATTAAACATGAAGCATTTGTAGTATACTATTTATGTACATTAAATTAGGTCTTGTTCTTATAAACATATAGAAGAAACATTACGAACCTACTATAGAGTAAATGAAAATAAATATGATATACATTCAGTTTAGCTATTTATGTACATTAAGGTTTAAGTTTGTAAACGCGAAAAACTCGAATTGTATATATATATTTAGAATTCAAAGTATATCGGTTACAAGTAGTATGTATCAATCAAGAAGGGGTACAATCTCTGTATATGAGAAGTCCTCTGATTCTCTACTAGAAGTATGCCTATTAGAACTGTGCCGAATTCGAAATATGCTGAATTGGAAGTGTGCCGAGTTCAGAGTATGCTGAACTGGAAGTATGCCGAGTTCGGGAGTATACCGAACTGGAAGTATGCCGAGTTCGAGAGTATACCGAACTGGAACTATGCCGAGTTCGGGAGTATGCTGAACGGGAAGTAGCTCCTTGCTGAAGGGCCTCCGGAGTTAGTAGCTTGTTCCTCAATGAAGGGCTAATATGCAGCTTGATCTTCAAAGAAGGGCTTCCGGTGTCCAGATGATATCCTGGCGAGATTTCGACAGAGCTTCGTTATCCAGATTTCCAGAGCTCAATCTTTGAAAATGAAACCACTATTTATAGTGGTGAGGGTGAGGAAAAATCTCCAACCAACTCTTAATTCCTAATTTAATTTAATTATTTTAATTAAATTAAGGAACGTATCGGGACACCATTGCGTCCAGGTTCATCGTTTCATTAAATTTCAAATAATATCAAATAATCCAATTTCCTCAAAATTATGTAATCCACATATAATTTTGATGGGCCAAGACCAAGTCAAACCCGCTAATTAGGCAACCCAATTCACCCTTGCAGCCTGGTCCGTCTCAATTAAATATTCCACCAACTTGGGCCGAACAATCTAATATTCAATTACATTTAATTAAGTAATTAAACTAATTAATTATTCAATGTGCCATTTAATTAACCCAATTAAATAAATATTAGTCCAATTAGCCTAATTAAAGTAATTAATTTAGCAATCAATTATCCACCACGGTCCGACAATATCATTTAAATTTTTCAATGCTTACAAATTGCCCCTTCGAGACTTGCTTGACGTGCCCTAAATGCAGAGAGAAGGTAGTCTCGAGATTAACCGTAGTAGTCCAAGAGTGGTCATATTTATAGATAGCAATCCAATAAATGTCATTTTAAGTACAAAAGTCCATATTTGACAATCCAACATTCGGAGTCCATAGTGCCACATCAAAGGCCCAATTTTTCTACCATTTCATCAATGATCCAAATCACCATTCTTTTTCCATTTCTTAATCCAATAAAACTACAGCCTTCCACTGTATAATCTGTTCCCATGCCACCAGGGTCGTTCGTGAAGATATCCTTAACATGCGAAAAAAATATCTCTTCCAAATATGATCAGATTACTACCCTAAACTGAATGCGAATGTTTCAAGGGTAATCTCTCACTCAAACTCAGACACTGTATGTGTACCTCTATAAATAGCCTGTATTCATTCTTCTGAATACTCGACCAGCCGAGAGGAGAGCAAGCTACAGGTAATTTTCCACTTTAACTTACGCCATATTCATGCATACGTATTTGCCTTTTAGTTTTGCAGGAAAAATGACACAAAGCCCCGACTGTTTCTCATCGTATCGCTGCTTAGACTCGCCATCTTCACAAACATGGGTCGGAACTATTCAAGAATTGATTTTTCAAAATGCTTTCCACCATGTTTTAGCTTCATGTCATTGGGCATGCACTCCGGCGCGTTGCCGCCATCGCCTTATGGTCGCCGCAGGGTGTTGCTCCGGCGCCCCTCCATTCTTATTGCACTCGGCAATGAAGGAAACGGAATCACGCTGGTGATCTCGTATCGCATTGGACGTCTGCTGTCACAAGGTTGGATGTCACCGAGCGCGTGCTCCGGCACATTGCTGTCATCGACGAGCTCCGGCGAGTTACCGTCGGTTCATCGACGGGGAAGATGGAATCACTCCAGGCGTTGCTATTGTCACAAACATTGGATCGGAGCTTTCTAAGAACTGATTTCCTGGGTTCACGCCGCCGGCCACCACCACTGGGGACAGAGAGCTGCTGACACGTTGCCGGACACATGCTCCAGCGCATCGTAGCTATGTTCATCGATGGAGAAGAAGACCGCTATGGGAGTCCGTCAGTGGAAACACCAAAACATCGGAAAGAAATGCTGCGTTGTTTCTGCTCTAATCAGAATTGAAATGAAATCAAGGAGAGACTACATAGAGCCAGGTGCCGTCTCACTTTCCCATGTGTGCTATGCGTGTGTCAGTATATATGCAACATGTGTAGTCTTTTTTGTTTTCTTACTTCCCCATTGCCACGTGGGTGTATATATATAAGGAAAATGATATATGTACTCTTATGGAGTATAAACTCCTGTCACGTGTACCAATAAATTCAAGTGAAGGAAGAAAAACAGTGGCTCACTTTTTTATTTAAATCAACCAAATAACGACATTTTAGCATGGAGTACAAAATGGAGTAAAAAGTGGGAGTACATGTAGTATTACTCTATAATATGTGTTTTAATACAGTTGCTTTTGCATGGATGTACATATATATATATATATATATATATATATATATATATATATATATATATATATATATATATATATATATATGTGTGTGTGTGTGTGTGTGTGTGTGTGTGTGTGTGTGTGTGATTTGGTTGCATGTGGTGTAGGCATGCTGTGTGTGTATATATATATATATATATATATATATATATATATATATATATATATATATGTAGTGCACTTTTATTTGTGTTGTGCGTATCATATAAATATATATAACATGTACGCACACCATGTAGCATAATTTATATATATAATATCCTTGTTGCATATATTGTGTGTATATTGGTTTTACCATATGATATATGTACACACTACACACGCATATAATATGTAATATATGTACGTGGTATGTGTATACGTATAATGTACATTATATGGGTTGCCTTGTGCACATATTGTGACATGAGAATTTTCTTAACGCCTTCATGGCAATTTTCTTTGAGCCCAATCCTCAAAACGTTTCCCCTTGTTGACATTTTTGGACTTGCCCCTTGATTGTTAATGCGACTTCATATATCAAGAACCATTCATTTTCAATAATGGTGGTGGAATCTGACAAGACAAAACTCATAGTGTCGAGCAATGAGACTGGAAAAGACAACATGTCACACCAAGAATCCCTTCCAGAAACCACGAAGGGACTGAGGCAAAACATGGGCTCTGCAATTTGGGTCACGGCATCTGGAATATTCAGATATGCTCCCGACTTTAGGGAAATTGACACTTTGCCTTAAGAGTGAGTTCAATTTCATCAAGGGATACCACGAAGGGACTGAGGTCGCACTCAGTATGCCTCATGCCCTCTTGGAGGCCACTATGAGTCAGTTTCGACAGTTTCGACTCATGTCAAGGAGTCTTGGAGGATATGCGACAGTTTTGACTCATGTCAAGGAGTCTTGTAGGATTTGCGACACTTTCGACTCATGTCAAGGAGTCTTGGAGGATTTGCGACACCGCGATTGCCAAAATTACAAGCAGCCTGGGCAACGCTAATACTACCATTTCGGGGGCTGAGGCAGAGGTCACCCGCATTAAGGAACTGCCTGTATTAACGCCAGAGGATGTGATGAGACTAAAGGAGGCGAAGAGAGGCTTAGAAGCCTGCAAAGACGGTATGCTTAGCTTTAGGCTTTTTGTTGACTGATGCTCTTTTTCTTTCAGTTTCTCTTTTTGGTAGCAAGACTCCTTTTGTTTCTTTTCTCAACTCTTGATAACGGAATGCTTCTCATTTTTGTGCTTGACTTTTAGCAATTACTCGTACATCTTTGCTTTGACTTGTCGAATGATTGTCTTGATAAACCACTCTTGCAACATGAATTGGATTTGTTTTTGTTATGACTGAACTTAGATAATTTGATTCTAAGCTGCCTACGTATAGTACTCCTATGAAGGAGATCAAGTCAAACGTAGTTCAAATAATTTTTTTTTGAGTAGAGCCGTTCAACATTTAGACTCATGCGGGCCAGGAGCGTCTATGATTTGGGCCCACCCATAGACAAAGCGAGATGCATTAGTAGTTTAACCACGTGCTGCATTTTGGTGGACCGGAGTCGTTCATCATATTTTCGCGACTTGTGCTGACTCCCCAAGTTTAAGGGTGGTAAAGCTTTAGGAACCTTCCATTAATCGGACTGATCTTCAAACCATCTTCACTAATTAGCTTATAAGCCCCGCCGGTGTGAACTTCTAAAATCACGTAGGGACCATCCCACCTTGAAGTGAACTTGTGGCCAGTTTTTCTTGTGACAATGATGGGCCTACGAACAGCTATGACTTTGTCCCCAATTTGAAAGGAACGGGTCCTTACCCTTTTGTTAAAAGCTCTAGACATACGAGCTTGATAGCACTCAAAGCTTTGTTGCGCTTGTAGACGTTTTTCATCCAAGGCTTCTAACTTAGCCAAGCGTAGCTTAGCATTTTCTTCATCAGTAAGGCCCTCTTGTATAGCCAACCTTATGGAAGGTATTTGGCGCTCTAAAGGCAGGATCGCTTCTACACCATACACCAAAGAGTATGGAATGTTTTGAGTAGGTGTGCTATATGTGGTTCTATACGCCCACAAAGCTTCTTCCATTCTGTCATGCCAGTCCCTTTTCGATTTTGAGACAACTTGTAACACCCCAGATTTTCAAGACATTTAAAACTTATAAAATAAGGGTATTATCTCATTAAATCCCAAAACATAATACAAGTGTACGGGGTGCTATGCCACACCTGAGCTGGAGAACCCAGGTGCACAGGCTAACTAACTAATATCCTCAATAATGTAAATGCATAATATGGCACGCAGGCCGAGAAGGGAACTATCTACTTCTACGTTCCGAGTTCTAGCGTGCTCCAGTGACTTATTCTTCTGTGCCTGAAAGCCAAATATATCTGTTCAGCGAGAGATGCTGGTAACCCACTCCAACGCGTTGAAATACAATACATATAGAGATATATATAGATATACGAAAACCATTATGAGCATGAAGATATATCCTACGAATTCTAGCTTTTAAAACCGGGAATGACTCGACAGGTAATGTCAGACACAATCAACAGTTATAACGAGCATATGCAGTTCACAACAGATAAGGCAGATAAGGCAAAGCATAAATGGTAATCATAACCCAGCATGACAATCCCCAATATAAATCCCATAGTCACATCCCCCAAGGCACTCATAGTCACAATTCGTCCATATCACACACATAGCGCACATTGTTGGCGCCACGGGACCGATCGCATGCCCACATGAGGGTCAGCGCATATAGCTCTGACACAGCCCCGCAGCACCATGCCCCGTATCGCAACACGGGGAGGTCGATCGCAACCGACCGATGAACCGCAGCTCATCATAATGTTTGATCGCAACCAAACAGTGGACCGCAGCCCAAGAGAGTGTCATCTGACCACAGCCAGGATAAAGGACGAACCGCAGCTCGTATAGAAACGTTTGATCGCAACCTAACGGTGGACCGCAGCCCAAGAGAATGTCATCTGACCGCAGCCAGGAATACCAATCTGACCGCAGCCAGCTTCTGAACCGCAGCTCAAGATAACCAATCCGATCGCAACCGAATTGGGGTAGCACACACACATAACACATAGCAAGCACATGCAACCCACGTTACACATTGGGAAGGGGGATAAAGCGTATAACAACCTATGCGTGATCCATCACATACTAAGAATAGTCCTAAGGGGTTCATACTTCCTTCACCTAGGTCAACGGGATACCAATTCATCTAGCATGCAATATAACAGACTCATAAACCTACGAACGGTACCCGAAACATCAAACTAGACATAGGCACGACAAACGGGGTCCGTTGGGACACCACTGGGATCGGGGAAACCGAGAGCCCGAGGTAGTGTAATTTCCAGCGGGTAGCCAGTGGGTGGGGGTCCACCCGCCGGCTGCCACTGTTCCGGGCAGCGGGTGCCCGCCCGCCGGCTGCCCGCTGCCGGAGCTGCCCGAGAATGCCGCGGGTAGGTGGCGGGTCCCCTACCCCCACCTACCCCCCACTGACTCTTTTCATCACTTTTCGCCCCGGGGACCGTTGTGGAACCCGAAACCATGCTTAGACACTTTACAACGCAATTAACAACAACAAGTAGACAATTAACGGATCAAATACGGGAAACGAACGGCACATGGCCTATCATGCTTTTCTAAACATAATCAACACCCAAACATGCGATTTCCCACCCGATAATCCAAGAATCAAAGCATACGGTACAACCTAGGGTTCTAATCACTTTTATATCAACAAGAATACGATTCGTCTTCTAATTGCAAGATTCGGTAGGAACAACACATAATCATCAAGGATACCAATTAATCATCAAGAACATCATAATCATCAAGAACAACACGTAATCATCAAGAATCCCAATTAATCAACAAGAACATCACAATTATCAAGAAACTCCAAATATCAAGATTATCAAGATTCCCCATGGAATCATTAAATCAACATCAATAATAATCATAGTAATTCGCCATTTACAATCATATGGGGGGAAACCCTAAGGGGGAAATCATAGCTATGAAAATAGGTTTTGTTGAGACATGGGTTACCTCTTAGCCTTAATTAATTCCTTGGCTATGAAGGATCTTTCTTTAAGCTTTCTTGCTTTCTTGATTTCTTCTAAGGGAATTCTTGGAGCTCTCCTGGTGTGGTGGGGGCGTCTAGGCGTGTGGGGGTTCTAGGTGCTCCCTAAGTTCCCTATTTATAGATCCAAGGGTTTATTTAGAGTTTAATCCTATTGGGGTTAGGGGTTGGGTTTATATATTTGGGCCCATGGGCTATGGTGGCCTTTTTCCCTAATTAATCATTATAATTTATTCTTTCTCCTGGGTTATTAATTAATTAATTAATCAGTTGGTTTTAGGATTCGTAACACAGGGTGTTACACAACTTTCTTCAGCAAATTGCATAGGGTCTTGTTAAAAGCTTCAACAAGCCCATTCGCAGCTGCATAGTAAGCTGATGAGTTTCGCTGCTTAAAGTCAAAAAGCTTGCAGATCTTGTCCATCAACTTGTTGTCAAAGGGCTTCCCGTTATCTGTTAAGATATATCGCGAGATACCAAATCGATAGATGATGTGGATACGGAGAAAGTCTGCAACAATTTCTTTCTACACCTCCTTCAATGCCACGGCTTCAGCCCATTTTGAAAAGTAGTCGGTGGCAGCTAGTATATATGCATGCCTTGCAGATGACTTGGTGTAATTAGGCCAACTACATCAAGTCCCCATGCATCAAATGGCCAAGATGCAACTGTTGGGTATAGAGGTTTTGGTGGCTGATGGATAAAGTTTGCATGATATTGACAAGCTTGACACCTTCGAGCATAGTCTCTGCAATCCTTTACCATTGTAGGCCAATAATAGCCCATTCGCTTAATATGGAAATGTAACTTGGGACCGGATTGATGTGCACCGCAAACCCCAGAATGAGCTTCTTGCATAGCTTGTAAAACTTCATCTTACCCTAGACATCTGAGAAAGACTCCCTCGAATGAACGACGATACAACGCCTCTTTATAGTAGATGAAGCGAGGAGCTCGACGCTTTATATCCACCCTTGCCATCAGTGAGGTAGTCAAGTATCAGCTCATGTTGCCTATTCGATTGATGGTGCGGGTTCTCATGACACTCAGCAGTGGTTTCCCAACACTGGTGCTTCGAATCACGCCACGCCGGACCCGTCCTTGATGACTTCTACCGCCTCTTATTCTGGGCCTGACACTCTTCGTGTTGGCGATGGTAAGCGTTTACCTATTGTTAGTACTGGTTTCGCTTCGGTAGCCTCTTCTAAGAAATGTTTTAATTTGTCTGATGTGCTTTATGTTCCAGGGTTATCTGCGTCTCTTTTGTCTGTTCAGCATTTTGCTAAGGATAATCGTGTGTTTTTTGAGTTTCACCCTAACTGTTTCTTTATGAAGGATCTTTCAACCAGGGAGGTCCTATATAAAGGACAAGCTTCGGGTGGTCTCTATTCTTGGCTTGTGTCTCGTCAGAGTCCTGCTGCGCTAGTGGCTACTCGAGTCTCTTCTTCTGTTTGGCATGGTCGGCTGGGTCATCCGCATCCTCGTGTTCTGCGGCAAATCTTAAATTCGTGTTCTATTGTTTCTAGTTAAAGTGATAATTTAGTCTCTTGTCGTGCTTGTATGTTGGGGAAACCTTCTCGTTTTCCCCTTTTGAAACTAGAACTTCTCGTGTTTTAGAACTTGTTTATACTGATATTTGGGGCCCAGCGCCTTTTCTTTCTGTAAATGGATTTCGTTACTTTGTTTTGTTTGTCGATAACTACACTCGTTTTGTATGGTTCTATCCTATGCGTGCCAAAGTCGATGTGTATGCCATCTTTGATCAGTTTCGGTCACTTGTAAAGCGCTAGTTTAATCAAAATATTATTTCTATACAATCTGATTTAGGGGGAGAGTACAAACGTTTACATAACACGTTCTCCTCCATGGGAATTAATCATAGGCAGTCATGTGCCTACACCCATGAGCAAAACGGTCGGCTAGAATGTAGGCACCGTCATGTTGTTGAAATCGGTTTGGCCTTGCTGGCTCATGCCTCTGTTCCCCAGCGTTTTTGGAATTATGCGTTTGAGACTGCAGTATATCTTATTAATAAAATGTCCACTCGTGGGTTGAACAATGATAGCCCTCACTTTCGGCTACATCATTCTAGTCCTTCTTATTCTTTCTTACGTGTTTTTGGGTGTTTGTGCTATCCGTTATTGCGTCCGTACAATCGTAATAAATTACAGTTTCAATCTTCTCATTGTGTGCTTCTTGGCTATCCGCCTTCTTTTCATGGCTATCATTGTTTGGATCCTGTTAGTAACAAGGTTTTCGTTTGCCGCCATGTGCGGTTTGATGAAACTGTTTATCCGTTTGCTTCTTATGTGCCTGTGCAGCCTTCCAATTTAGCTCCTGTGTCACCGTGCGGTGTTGGCGGTGTTCGTGTGATGCCTAGGTCCACGGTGTGTGAGGACTCGTCTGTTTCCGGTGTTGGCGGTGTTCGTATGATGCCTAGGTCCACTGATGCCTAGGTTCACGCATGTGATGGCCACCCGCAGCCAGGGTCCGACTCAACATGTTGCCTTGGTGGCGGTTTCTGAACCAAGATGCTATTCCCAAGCAGTTCGGTATCTGGAATGGCTAGAGGCCATGGACTTGGAGTTCAATGCGCTACTTCGGAATGACACTTGGCGTTTGGTTAGCCGCACTCCGAATATGAATATTGTAGGTTGCAAGTGGGTGTTCCGGATCAAACGGAAGGCAGATGGCACGGTCGAGCGGCATAAAGCTCGGTTGGTTGCTAAGGACTTTAATCAGGTGGCTGGACAAGACTTTTTCGAGACCTTCAGTCTGGTTGTGAAGCCTACCACGGTTCAGCTGCTTTTGCCTCTAGCTGTCTCTCGTGGTGGGACCATCAGGCAATTGGACGTGCATAATGCCTTCCTGAACGGTAATCTGGCAGAGACAATTTATATGAAGCAACCTCCAGGTTATGAGGACAAGTCCAGCCCTGATCATGCGTGTTTGTTGCAGAGTCGCTGTATGGGCTGAAGCAGGCCCCTCGGGCTTGGTTCGATCGCCTTCATTCCTTCTTAGTCTCGGTTGGTTTTACACCGTCCGAAACTGATGTCTCTTTGTTCATTTACACCCCTATGATTCTGTTCATTTGTACTTATTGGTGTATGTTGATGACATTTTGGTTATCGGATTTGACTCATCTCGTGTTGCGAGTCTTCTCATGGATTTAGCCACTGAATTCAAGATCCGTGACATGGGGGATCCGTCTTTGTTTCTTGGAATTGAGACGATTCCTTAGCATGTCAGATTGCTTCTTTCTCAGCAGAGGTATATGCGTGACATCTTGAATCGTGCAGGTATGGTGGATTGCAAACCTTTGGAGACTCCGGTGTCTCTATCTCAGCCGTCCACTGATTCCGTCGTTCCTTATGAGGATCCGACGCGGTACCGGAGTCTTGCAGGGGCTTTGTAGTAACTTACAGTTACGTGCCCGGACTTGTCTTATGCAGTGAACAGTTTGTGTCAGGACATGCACTCTCCGACGACTGAGTACTGGGCTACGCTCAAACGTGTCTTGTGGTACGTTAATGGCACTCTTCATTATGGTTTGCGTATTCGTAAGCCATCTTTAGTTGTTGTTCATGCGTTCTCTGACTCGGATTGGGTTGGTGATCCGGTTGATAGAAAGTCTACGAGTGGTTTTGTGATTTTTCTTGGTTGTAATATAATTTCTTGGACTTGTTGGAAGCAGCGCACTGTTGCGCGTTCGTCCACGGAGGCTGTGTATAAGGCACTTACTGACATGTCTGGAGAGGTTACCTGGTTGGTCTCTTTGTTGACCGAGCTTGGTTTGCGTCCGGGGTTGCCTCCTACTCTTTGGTATGACAACTTGGGTTGTAACACCTCCGATTTTCATGCCAAATTAAAGCTTAAATTTGCAAGGAAAACTAACCAAAAGATAGCATAAAACATAAACACAGCGGAAGTCTAATCATAAAACCGGGAAAACCAAGGAGTGTTACGCCACGTCCACTCCAACGTGAACGCACAGGCAAAAACTAAAACTATCAATCTAATATGTTCAACATATGTGGCACACAGGCCAAAACACTAACTATACTGTCCAGGGGATCTAAACTATCCACGGCTAACGCTCTCGCCATCTACTCACAATCGTTATACCCTAAACTACGGCGCGCGTAGCACTGTGCGCCGCGCGCCTCCCAAAACGACGTGTGTTTTGGGAGGCGCGGTAGGAAACTGCTGTGATTATGTATATTTGTTCATACAATTATGTATATTTGTTCATACAGTTATGTATATTTTTTATACAATTATGTACACTTTTTTATACAATTATGTACATCCGAATCAGGAAATTTTTGTGTATTATGTTAAGAGTTGATGTGTATTAGGTTAAAAGTTTATGTTTATTATGTATTATGTTAGATTATGTGTATTATCTTTTAAAAAACAGTATGTATATTTTGTTATACAATTATGTACATTCATGTATACAATTATGTACATTCATGTATAACATTATGTACATTTTTGAACATGGGTTTTTTTAAAGAAAAATTAACTGCCAAACACTGGGGCAGGAAATTTCAAAAAAAAAAAAAAATTGAAACGACGTCGTTTTGCATCTGGGCGCACAATGCAACGCGCGCCGTGGTGTAGGATATAAATTGCCATCTACTTAGGACCCGTAAAGCATATAAAGAAAGAGGACGACACCCGGTCAGCGAATATTGCTGGTAACCCATCAATACACGTTTAATAGCATAAGTAGATAGTATAATACAAAATCATTTTCGAAACGGAATACAATATATATCAGTTTTAAACCGTAAAGAGAGAAGTCAAGTGCAAAGACTTTATTCACTCTCAAAAGAACAAGGGAATCACATCCCAAGACAACATCGAGACAAGAACAACAACAGAACAACTCAACACCGCTCAAGATGTAATCTACTGATCACAAAGCAGAAAACATCAAGGCAAAGACAACAACAACAACAAGTACAACTCGAGGTGTATTCTACTGATCACAAAGTAGAATACCACTCGACATGCTCAACAGATAAGGATAAACATCCACACATTGGCACTACATGCCACAAGTTCCAACCTTATGCCTACCCCCGGCCTTATTACAGTTCCAACCATTACCTCCGAGAACCCATGTACTTCTGAGTCCAACCTTATGCCTCCGGGAACCGTCGTTCCACACCTACAACCACCAAATCATCAACCAGCGATTTCATAGTACACGAGGGTACCGTTCATTTCAATCACACAACCACCAATCACATGAGCCTGAAGCCCAGATCACATGAGCCTGAAGCCCAATTACAACTCCATAATCACATCATGGCCACCACGAGGACCACATATGTGCCTTGGTGATTAATGTCCCATACCATTAATCGTGCAATCCAGGTACAGCCAACACACACATCATCATAGGAATCAATCAACGGATCACAACGAAGATATGAAACCATACTCAATCAAGGAAGGATTACAATCCGACATCAACGATGATCAACACAAGTTATCATCCACAATAGGAAAGAACAAACCACACACGCTAGCATTTCAACATCAAACTAACATGCTTATCAAACGGGTAAACAAAATATAGTTCCGAAGAACCTACAAGACTCACCATGGTTCAACGAATCACAAGGTTGAACACTTAGCACGATTCAAGACACCAAATCCTACATGGATTCCTACCATCACGTTCTAGACATACGAAACATCAAGAAGACACTCAAGTAGCCCAACAAAAGAACATCGGGAAGTCAAAACAT